AGATACACATACACACAGATACACATACACACAGATACACATACATACAGATACACATACACACAGATACATATACATACAGATACACATACACACAGATACACATACACACAGATACACATACTCACAGATTGCCCCGAGTGATGTAAATATAGTTGTATACCTATGCAGCAGAAATTACACAATAGACAGAATGGTGACATAATTTATGAACTTTAGGTGAGTGAGGTGTTATAAAGTCTGATGGCAGATGGAATGAAGGACCTGCGGAAGCGTTCTTTCTTGCATGTTGGATGCAGTAGTCTGTTGCTGAAGGAGTTTCATAATGTCCTCACTGTGTCATGCAGGGGGTGAGAGGGACTGACCATAATGGATGTAAATTTGGCCAGCGTCCTCCTCTCAGCCACCTCCTCAGTGGAGTCCAAAGAGCAGCCCAGCACAGAGCCAGCGCTCCTGACCAGTTTATTCAGTCTCTTCCTGTCCCTTCCTGAGCTCCCGCACCCCCAGCAGACCACCGCCAAGAATACAGCAGATGCTACCATAGTGTGGTATATAGTAGTGTCCTGCACACACTACAGGACCTCAGCCTCCTCAGCAGGTGGAGGCGGCTTTGCTCTCTGTGTTCTGTGACCAGTCCAGTTTGTTGTTTATATGAACACCCAGATATTTGTACACAGACACAACCTCTACCCAACACTCCCAGAACATCCACTGATGCAGATGGAGTCACCTAGTGGCAGAGTCAATTACCATCTCCTTTGTCTTACTGGCGTGTATCAGGAGGAGATTCCTTCCACATAATTCAACAAATTTGGCGATGACCCCCCTATATTCCAGATCGTTACCCTTCGATATACATCCAACGATGGCTGTATCATCAGAGAACTTCTGAAGGTGACAGCTGTCCATGTTGTGTCTGAAGTCCGATGTGAACAGTGTGAAAAGGAGAGGGGAGAGCACTGTGCCTTGCGGAGTCCCTGTGCTGCAGACTACAACATCAGACACGCAGTCGCAAAGTTTCACATACTGTGGTCTGTTAGTGAAGTAGTCGGTGATCCATGCTACCATATGGCAATCCACACCAGCTCCCTTCAGCTTCTCCCTTAGCAGTCATGGCTGTATTGTGTTGAGAGCACTGGAGAAGTGAAAGAACATGATTCTCACAGTGCCCCCACATATTGGACTGACAGTTATAGGGCTTTAGTATTGGGTTTTATGATGTTTTTGTTGTACTTAAACACGTCATAACATATTGCAAACTTTGCCCTAACCACCGGGTTAACAGAGGACACCCTTTCCGAAAGGCAGGGTGTTGCTGCTCCCTCGTGGTGTATTTATTCACTTGATTTTTAAAATGAATCTTGTTATGATAAACAGTCCATTCGATGATAAATAAATGGATGGAATTACTTAAGAGTACAACATGTTTGTCTCAATCGCCATCAATCTCCATAATAAATTTAAGGGAGTAGATTTGGATATGGACGGTAGGGGCAATGTACTATATACCGGTATTTTGGGGTTATCGTGTGTGTTTGAGGGCACGATCGATGGATTCGGCGCTGATTTGGTCCCAACCAATGTTGAAATCAAACCTACGCCCTTGGCTGAACTTAAATAGTTTGGTTTCCTAAACTCCCTTAAATATTATCTTATGGTTCTCTACTTCATGGGCATCGTGTTGTAAGAAAATTGAACAGCATTTTACACCTCACAGAAAAATCAAGGTTTCCTATTATCGTAAATGCCACTAAAGCCGAATATTATAACGGGACTCCAAAACAGCAACTCCCCTGTAAAAATCGTTAAGGTTCACCACCTGTATATTAAGCGGGCCGCAAGTGTTATGCGTATTAATTATTTAATAATTTTCGGATATATCTGCAACTCCCACGTGCCAACAATTACATCATTAGCACAAATACTTTAACGGACTAACATGACTGTTGTTAACCATTGCGTACGAGATGAGCTCTTAGTGCTAAATATTTGTCATTTTATGTACTGCACATGTCAGGGGAATTTAATAAGATTACCATCATACACCGAATAAACTGTGTTCAGTGAAACTAGCAAAGGGACTTTCAGGCGATTAAATGAACAAATTAATATAACGTGCACGTATACAATTGTACATAGTGAAAATAATTAACTTTTTCTGTACATTTAAACTGCGAGTAGCTGATGTGGGAAACGCGTCACAGTGTGGACCGTACCAGTACTAAAAAATAGGGGGGTTGTTAATCAAAAAAGAGAGAGATGTAGATTTTGCGCAGAATATATGTATCAGCCCAACATTTTACGAGTAATTGCTGTTGTTTATGTTGACCATACAATGCCTTATATTTTAATTTAAACAACATATAAAATTCAGTTATACCACATTGGTATGGTCGCCCCGGCTTTTCCTGTGTTTTGAAGTTGATGGGCAATCGAACATGTCGGAATCGGGATTCCGATTGCAAAACAAGGAGGAAACAGTTTGCGACAGTACGACGCGGCGTAGATCAGCGGCAAACATCATATCGCCTAATCCGGGGGTGGACAAGAAGACGATGGACTTCAGGACAGACTCGGGGAAGAAGATGACGACGACGGAATACTGCAGGAAATTACAGGAGTGGATGTGGCAGTACTACGGTGGCTACGCCAGCTGGCTCACCTGGACGGCGATGTCCGCCTTTCCCTTACCATCCTGCGCTCCGGCGAGTGAAGCCCACGTTGTCCCTCCCTGGGGGGCGCCGCAGCTGTCCGAAGCCCGCGGTCTCCACGGAGATCAGTTTTCTTACCTCCCCCCGAATCAGTTCGTTGGGATCCCATCCCCAGGTCTCCAAACGGGGGAGGTGACAGCTGGGGGTCCCCCTGTGCCCAACACCGCTACTGCTGCCCCGAGACCCGCGCAACAGCAGCAGCAAACAAACAGAAACACTCAACAAGCAGGTATTTAGCAATCTGACTGGCTCGGGCTTCTAATGTGATATTTAATTTACCGTCCGCTGACCCAAAGGCACGTTGATGGCGCATATGAGTGTTGTGTATCTATTCTATCTAATGTGATAATCGCGACCTATAGTAGATACACGAGGTTCGTCAACAGTATTATTATTTGTTTTATTAGTATCGGATTAATATTTATTTATAAGCAACCACTTAACAATTGGGCTGTAATATCGTCTACCTTATTAAAAGGTCAATTCTTGAAAGACGTGGCAAGTTTTGAGTTTGTTCTGTTGTTTTTCTGTTCAGGTCGGGAATACACGATCCCTTCTCCTCTGCAAAGATTTTTCGCAGAAATGGTGGATTTCTTCATTCTTTTCTTCATAAAGGCCACAATTATCCTCAGCGTCATGCACTTAAGTGGAATTAAGTGAGTGCCCACAGTAGTTTGTGTGCATAACAACCCTCTTGCCACCCCGTTAGTTAGCATTTCGCGCCGTGCGTGTGCTGCTTTAAATCGCGAAATTGAAGCCTTTTAGTGTATATTAAACCTGAAAATTATTCTGCGGTATTAGACTTGTACCAATAACTTTACTTTGCTTGTCTAACGGTTTCTTACTCATTTTTTTAGGGACATTTCCAAATTTGCCATGCATTTCATTGTGGAAGAAATAGATCAGGACACTTCGATGGAAGACCTACAGCATATGATGCTGGTGGCTCTTGTCTATAGGGTGCTGGTATGCCTCTATGAGGTGAGTGTCAGAATAAATCATCTCATGGCTGTAACAGGCTAGGCGGCCTATTACTGTTTTATATAGAGCATTTGTCTGTAGATGCTTAATATTATTACTTACTAAAAAAATTATATTTATATGAATAATTCTTTTTTTAATACGTGGTGTAACCTTTGCTTGCAGAACAAAATCCAAAGTGCTGGGTGACATGGTGACATGTTTAGTGCTGTTAGCTCACACTCCAGGGTTGGGCCTTTGGTTCCTGCCTAGTGTTGTTGTAGTTTCGACTTTTATTTTCATATTACTTTCAAGTTTCATTTGAAATCCAGTTCAGTTTTACTTTTCAGTGTGGTTTTATGAATTTTTATTTTAAAGATGAATTTCTATTTATAGTTTTTCATGTATTTTAGTTTCAGTTTTAGTTTTAATAATTTTGTTTTTAGGAATTGACTGAAAGTTGTAGAGCTATTTCATATGTCTGGTCTTCATACAGTCGACTGTTCCTCATGGCGGAGGGTTTGAAGCCCAGGCTCCAGCGATCTGGAAAAACAATAATTTTTTGGTCCCCTTGGTCCTGTCAGCAAGGGAGTGAGCCTGCGAGGGCGCCAAAAGATAAGAGAAATGCCAGATCACTGTGAGATATTATAGGATAGGCTGCCGTGAACAGGTTTGGCATCCTACAAAGCAGCACTGTACATACATTATATGCAATTATGAGTTCTAAACTTCTTGCGTGTCGTGTGCTGGCCTTGGCATGTCACCTGCAGCTTTTGCACAGCGTATGCCTTCCCTGCGATGTATCAGAACTGCTTATGGGAAGGTCGCGATTGAGATGGGTCGACTGTAGAATCCTACATGAATAGACAGTGCACTTTATGCACTAATGTCATCAAAATATCCAAAACATTTTTCAAGAATTATTACAGGTAATTTAATATAAAGAAATCATTACTTTTAGCTAAATAGTATTTTTAAATGGTAATGGTTTTGACATTTGTGTTTATTTCAATTAGTTTTGGTAATGATATTTGTGGTTTTCATTTAGTTTATTTAATCGTTGTATATTTTATTTCAGTTTACGGAGATGTTTTCTCACAGTTTTAGTTTTCCTTAACGATACTGACGCAGATCGCGATTTCTTTTCCTGTGATTGCATGTTCTGTCCATGTTGTGTCTATTTACCCCCCCAGTCGAAAGATGTGCAGTTAAGTTCATTGGCATCTCTGGAATTGACTTTTGATAATGTACATGCACTGTGATGGGCTGGCATCCTATCCAGGGTGTTTCCTCAGCCTTGTGCCCTGTCCTGCTGGGCATAGCTTGGGAGGTCCATGACCCTCACTAGGCTAGGGGGTTGGATATATGGGTTGATTGATGTTTTGTGCTGATGACTATTGGTGTCTCCTTGTCCAACCACCATTTTAGATTATATGTATCTGGGGAGCTGGAGGAGCCACACCTGGAAAGTTCCTTCTTGGCCTTCGTGTTGTCACGTGTGACACCTCGGTCCTGGTGCGACCCAACCGGGTTCTGGTGGTACCTGCATCCAACGTCAAGTTTTCTGCGTAAGTAGTGAACCTGTTATATTGTTTCCTTCAAAACTAGGAGTAGTTCACTAATAACCCTGTTATACATGGTGGCCTATTTTTTTTTTATTTAGTATTTTTTTTGGTCACCTAGTCAAGAAAATCATTTGTCTGTTTACATTAGTAGTGGCTGCATTGTACTTAAATGATGGAAAGATCTGCACTTGCTCTGTAATGTTTCAAAAACATCTCTTCTAAGGTTCCTTTCAACTGCAAAGTCAGATTTTAGTCTTTCTTTAGAAAAATGCTGCATAGTAGTAGATATTAGGAAGGAGCATTTCAGGCAGAATTACTAGTGAAATTTTGGATTATTTGGATAATTTTTCATGAACCCTGCCCCCGTCACACACAGAGAAATATTTTTAAGATATTAGTCATTGCTGCAAAAAGATAATGTAAAATATTAAAAGTAACTCAAATAAATTAAGTTGAAACCAGTTAATTTATCCGAAAGAGATCCTGAAGTGCAGGATCATACAATAATGTTTAATAGCCTGCACCTTAGGCAGCTACGACAAATGGCGATTTGTAATTTTTTTTTTTTTTAACTCAATCCTATTAATACTTCTCTGGCTTATAGGCCACTCCATTAATTTATTTCCATACTAAATGAGACATCACTCGGTGCTGCAGAATGAACTTAAAATGTTAAAGGTAGTCTGGGAATTAGAGCTGAATTATATTGGAAAAATTCACATTGCAAGTTGAAAATTTACCCAAAATAAACTATAGCCAAATATGACTTATTACATATAAATAGAGTCTGTCTTTACTGGGAAAGGCAAGTCGGTAGTTCACATTCTGGTTAACTCGCCTCAAAGTCTAACCACAGCCATGACATCATAAATGTGCATATAAAATTAGCAGCAGCAAGAGTATGACTCTTATAACCTTGTTGCCACAAATTGTACCAAAAGACACAAAGCAGTGCAGACAAATTAATTGCTTTTGCAATATTTTCTCTGTGGAAACCAAAATATTTACATTCAGTGTAGAATGAATGTCTTCTGGTGATTAGTTTTTGTTTGCCTTACTCATTTTTATTCCATTTCTCACAAACGTGCCACGCTATGAGTGAGCAAGGATGAGAATGATGGCGGCCATTTCAGAGAGCGTATGCAGAGCTAATGCGAAAACAGTAGAGGTAAATTTATGAACAAATAAACAACAAACTTCTACGTGAACGGATGAATCACGGCTAATTGCATTTCTGCTAAGTAATATTTAAAATGGCTCATTTATTATTCGGTTTTTAAGATTTTATTTTATTTTTTCCTTTTATACCCGTTCTCAGATATTCAAATGTTCACCAATGCTGACTCATCTCTACTCTACAACTATTGTTTCAAGTGAGACTTTCATATAGATTACTCAGGAGAACAGGAATATTCTAAAATATTCTAAAAATTTATAACCACATTGGCAGTAGATATTAATATTTCACTGGCTCATGACCCAGTTTTCCCTGGTAAAGCTGCATTTTAGTAAGACTTTTGGGGGAGAAAAGGGATCATTGTGCATGGTATTAAAAAGCCATATTGCTATACTGGAAACATGATCATCTTAATAGAAGTAAACCTCTCATTAAAGCTCTACCTTCTCTTCCCCCGGCTCTTTCTCCCTGGCCACAGATCCACAGTGCGGGCCTTAAACAAGAACTTCTCCATCGCCCTCTTCTTCCCGGCGTTCATCACGCTGCTCTTCTTCCAGCACAACAGGACCGTTTATGACATTGTTGCCGGTACCATCGTGGTCAAGCGAGGCAGGGCCAGGTGACAGTGTGCGATGACAGCCGGATGTTGGCCTCGTCCCTCGTCTTCCTTCGTATTTATGTATTCCAGCAAGAATGACTGCATCCTGAGTTGTTTTTTCCCCATTACTGGCTTAATCTTTGCCCGCTGGAGACTCTGAGGCTTGGTTAGAGTGAGCTGGAGGGGAGAACTTCACCTAGTGCCAGGGCTCTGTCAGCACCAACCCAGATCTGCCGCCTTTTTCATGCAGAATTGCAACTCTGTTTTTCTGTATTGCAAAGCTGAATGACACTTTCTGCTATGAAAATATCTATACATTCTGCTATGATAATACTTCAGGTATGAAGATCTTTCTATGGAATGAAATTATGGATTGGGCTGTTTATCAACTCTTTGGTTAAATTATTAGCTGTAGAGGTCGGACACAAAGTTTTATACGAACAATTGAGAAATTCCTGACCTTTTTTTCTGAGGCTGATGTACCTTGTAATCTAAAAAATAGCCTGTTTTAATATTCTGCCTGAAGAGAAATGCTTTTATTTGGAGTATCTCAAAATGATTTTCTATTTGATAATGCTTTCAGAGTAACTGTGAGAGGGGAAAAAAAATGTTTAGTCATTCAGCCGCTACACTGGGCCTGTCTGTCAGGCCAGGGCTCAGACGCTGAGCAGAGTCATCTGTTATCCTGCCCATTGGCCAGGATCCCGCTCGCTATAGCAATGCGTTGACCCCTCCTGATCGAGCAGTGTTACTTATAAAACGTTATGAGAGATGCCTGCCTCTCTGTCTAAGTGTTATTTTTGTGCACATGTCCGCCAACAATATAGCCATCATTTTTTGTTTTTCATATTCAGATACACATATGTGGAAAATATACTTTCACTGCGTTTTACCATATGAAATCATCGATAATGCGACAAGTTTTATTCCTTTGAATTATGAGATATTAAGGAAAAGAAGATTTGCTTGCAGATTATTTCGAAGGGTGTACTATCAATACCTGTATTATAAGGTCACCGTAACAGATTAATGGTAGGAATGATATGAAAGAAACGTGTTTCTCTGGTGCATTTACTGAAGTAAGTCATGTATTGAAATGGTTTATTTGTACAAGACCATTGTGACTGTAAGCTTTATAGTGTTGTAGATATTCACCCAGTTAAAAACAGCCCGTGTTTTTATACCATGGATAATCTAGTAAAGCTGAGCCTAGAGTTCGGCAATGTTTACACGTCATAAATTAACGTTAAGCTTCAGGTTTAAATATGCATAAAATGATTAAACCCGACTAATGAGTGAAACAATTACAACAGCTCTACCTTTAACATTTGTTTCCTGCATCTTTAATACAGCTTTTTGAGGGATAAATGATTAGGGTTCATTACCAGATGTTAAACGTACCTTAAAATGGTTTTATAGATTGACTAACTTTTATTAGTGAAATAAATGAGTAAGGAAATGCGTCGATTATCGTGTTTATGTGCTTAGTGCAGTGATGTATTTAGCTGTTTGCCACTGAGCAAAGTACAATTTTACTTGGAAAGGTAGACCTGAAGTTTGAAGACTGCTGTCTTCAGTGTGAGGTAAGGTTCCATCAAACATGATCATCAGTCAAAGTGGGCACCATGTTGGAAGGATCAGCCGCTGGTTAAAGGTTCAGTTCACAAATGCGGTTTATCTAGCAGATGTATGAACAGGTGCTATGGGCTGGAAAGCGAGTCACACAGCAGATAGCCTATAACACGGTGTCTAAAGAAAATGTTTCTGTTGCAGCGAGGACTTTCTGGACTTTTAAAAAGTTGCAAACCGATTACCTTGCAGAATGTTGAAGGGGGACATGTGAAAACAAGGATGAATGATTGACAAGTGTACGCGGCATGTGCTCACAATGCAAACCTAATCTCCAGAGGCGTGTAAGAAAATGCTGGAATATTGTTAAACCGATAGTGATCCTGAGAGGAAATTAAGGAACTAAGGATCTCATAGAGGCCAATGAAATTAGGCTTTGTTTACCATCTCATGTTATAAGAGCAATACTGCTCTTCTTCTCTGCATATTATAAATGAGCTGCAACTAATGACTTGGATAAATGATAGAAAGATGGATGGAATCAACAAAGTACATAGTAAGTACATGTCATATAAAGAATGGTTTGTAGGCGACTGTAAGACAAAAGTATATAAGTGACAGATCTCTAATTATATTTTTATGTCTATGTATCGTCCTGATTTTGCAGAGTTCGACATCCCTGGCTTAAGCGAGGGGCTTGCGTCTTCATCACCACATTAATTAAAACCAGTGTTTTCTGTTAAGCAACAAGTACCTATTATTGTGTATGCCTTTTGTTAAGGGACAGGTCATACATACAGAACATACGGATCTGCTTGCCTGCAAAGGCTGCATGGAGCAATGTATGATTTCATGATGATGATGATGATGATGATGATAGGGCATGAACCGGCACTCTTCTGATCACAAGCACAGAGTCTCAGCTTGATTCACACGCTACCCCTGACCTGACAGCTGGATGGCTGGAAGCCTTGAGTTTGAAAACGAGAAAAAAAAAAAAAAAACAGACCAATGTGTTGATGTCATACAACGAAGACTGTGATTGGTTAAAGAAGTGAAACACAAACCACTCCGTTGTTGACCCAGGGACACGTCCAACTCTGCAAAATCACACAGATATGATCCTTCTCTTGCTCTACAGGATTTACTTAGGCTTACCAATACTGTCCACTAGGGGGCATATTTATCTTCAATTTTAATAAAATGAAAATGTTGCCTTGTCCTGACAGGATTACGACTAATTAAATAAATAATCTCAGATTTGCTCAAAATAACATAATATTTAAACAAAATATTATGGTTAAAGAAAATATTTTGTTTGTTACATGACAAAATAACCAGAAGAGTCCTTTAAAGGTAGCTGGCAGTATTGTCAAATCCCACAACCACGTGCTTCCCTTGTAAAATATCCACACAATGCTGAGAGTTTTGGCTGAAATGCCTCATGGATTTCTCTCTACACAACAGAAATACCAGGGATTGAGCCGACGTTAACTCCACAGCCATTGTTCACGATTCCATCCGCCCACCCGCCTCCCCTGAGCCGTAAACTGAACCACAGGCCCAGATGTCTCTTTCTGAGCTCAGACCTGGCAGGAGAAACCGGGGTTTCAATGGAAAGTTGATTTATCTTGAGGGATTATGGGATACTATGGGTGCAGCCGGCAGTATGCCCTCAGGGAGAGTCTGTGACTCGCTAGGAACAAAAACGCAGCGACGGCTCGGTGTCTAGTTACAGTCGATAGATGTTGTCATCTAAGGAGTCTCTCCCTGTCATGTGATAAAACATCTAAATCATATTCCAAATAATAGTCATTAATTAAACGTTAATTGATTCACTATGCAGCTGTCAGCTACATGCTTACCTTGAGTGCATGAGGCAAAGCACCAGAGAGGAAATCAGCAAGAGGAAGTGAAATAGCTTTGGATCTCCCCCCCATGGAAGAACTGCATACATATTATGCAAAAGAGATCTAATGAGCGCAATCACTTTGGCTGTCTGAATCATTCCATTTAGCCTTACACATTTATTGCATCCTGTCCCACAATTAATTCTACAAATGGCCTGCAAAGGAGCACATGTCTAACTCGGATCCGTTTGGAGCCTCTTTCAAGGAGCCTTCAGGTGTTTGCTGATATTACACTACACTTCATTACTATTACGTTAAGTTGTTTATCACTAGAAATCTGTCCATTGGGCGGTTCTCTAAGGCCTGCCTCCCTTTCCGCAGCCTGCCCACTAGCGATGTGAGGCCTGAGAATGGGACGCGAATGTGCCAATGGAGTGAGCGGGCACAGTGGGTGGCAGCGGAAAGCAGCCCACATCACCGTTAGACCCACCGGGCACGCTGTGGTGTAGGGTTTCCACACATTGACACAGGGAAGAGTAGGGCCTTTTCTCATTCACTCCCTGCATTGTCTCTGCTCTTCATACCACCAGACACAATACTGTCGGTATTCTGATTTATGAATCTTCCTCATGTGATTGTTCTTATTGATGCAGTTTTCTCTCAAACAATACTGACCGCTGTACATTGATGCTACATAGTGGGATCTGGCTCTAGCTGTACACAATCACCTAGAGCCCCCGAGTTACCTACAGGTGGGGGAAGTGACATGATCATTAAGTTTCTGAGTATGGGGGACTCCCAATTAAAGCTTTGCCTAGGGCCCCGTCAAAGGTGGGACTGGACTCATACGTATCACTAGCCCACAATTGCTCGCACTGTGCCAGTATGCCTTTCTGCCAGTGTTGTTCTTTTGATGATGGTGTTTTTTCTGCCCAAACAGTGACTTTAATTAATCAAATAAGTGTTGGGATTGAAAACATAAAGACCTACATGTACCCCGCAGATTCTCTGTGGAAATTATTTAAAAAGTAACAGATGTATTGTGTGAGGGTGCTATCAAAATGTCTAGGCTAAAGTTTGCTAAACCTTTTAAGGCATTTATTGATCTTGGCTTTTGAAGTACGGAGTTAACATGAAAGCTTCCCAAATATACATCTGCTGAAATCTTTTTAGGAAGCAGATTGTGCTGCTTGAACTTGCTATCGTTTTTCATCAATTTTGCATACTGCCTACGCACACGAGAACCCATTTGTACGAGGGGGAAGATACCAGTATGAATATTTTATCAACATTAGCGCTAATAAGATGTGATGAAGAACTCAATTATTGTGGCTGCACCAACACCGTAGTTTTGAATTTACTGTCTGCTGATCGCCAGTCACATTATATGTAATACACAACTTACTATGTGGATAAGAAATCACGATTAAGTAGCGTAAGTCATGCACTAAGACTGCTATTAAGGTATATCAAACGATCGCACATTCTGTACATTTTTTGCTGAGACGTTTCCTTCGAACAGGTACGCGGCTTCACGAAATTAGTGGGATGATATACGGCAGCCATTCCGCACCGAATTATTAATCATGGACTCCTGATTTGTAGGAAACATGTAGAGAGCCGCCTCCCCGTTGCGAGCTTTTAGTATCAAATGCTGTCATTTTCATTAGTGCTCACGAACAGTAATGTGCATGAGGCTTCCAGGATCACGCACGTATGACAGCCGTGACTGATGTCGGCCCGGCGCATTCATGCACGGTACAGAGTGACCGCTTTCCAGAAGGGACACCTGCTCCATCTCATTCTCCTCAACCTCCGCACCCTCCCTTATCAGCTCGCTATGATTAAATGCTCCTCCTTCCGCATCTGGCACCCTGTCAGTTTTAGTCTACTTAAAAGTACCCTCGTTGATAATTTGGACCGCTTTGCTTCGCACCCTTTCATTAAGTACAAGATGCATCAGGTACGGTTATGACTCAGGTTAATGGCAGGACCGCAGTGATAACTAATGGTTTCCTTCTGCCTCAAGGCGGTCGATAACTGAAAAGCCTTCATACCTCTCGGTCGGTGACCTAGAGCAGGGCTCTTCAAATCTGGACCTCGATTCCAAATCCAGGCCTTGTTTTCAGTTCTCCCAGGTAGTTAGTTTAATAATTACTGATTCTGATTGGTCAGAGGCTTCACGCCTGGCTCACAGGTAAAGGAAGGCTGGAAAACCAGCAATGCTCGGACCTCGAGGACCGTGATTTGAATAATCCTGACCTAGAGGAAGACTGGCGAAGATTATTACAACACGGAGTGGTCCTCAAAAGAAATTTCCGTACTTAATGTTCGTAACACAGTCGTGAAAGAAACATCTTATTAGCGTCACCGTTGAACCAGGAGCTGATTATAAGAAAAATATTGCATATAGATGGGTTGCTGAATTTTGAAGGTCTGTATAGGTTTATCTTGCAGCATTATTTATGATAGAATCGTGTTTGTCTAACTTAAAGTTTTATCTCTTTTTAAAAAGACTTGCCATTTCCATGCTGACATCAACCTTTTAGTCTAATACCCGAATTGTATCATTTTTCTTAAGTTATGAGAGACTGTAATAAAAACATAAAATTGTTTAGCTATCGAACAAGACCGTATGAAATATGATCAATCACGATGTGTAAAAAAATAATAGGATGTACAGCACATAAGTACATAAAATATGGAACATCTATAAAATATGGAACAACAAATTGTAATTTCTGCAAATCTGCCTTTGCCTATTAACATAGGACTATGTTTCAAATCAGCATCGCAAAGGCAGCATTCATCATATCACGCTTTGTTTTAGTCGCCATAACGATGACATTACTTAGAAGCATTCAATGACAGCTTTGCTGTGTTTTTCTTTTATAGGCCTATAACTTGCATAATTTATGTTGTAGGATTTGTTGGATAGTTTGGAAGAGATTGAAAGCGTGTAGCTGTGGTCGGAGACAGATTCGCAGTTGTGACACGGTGGAAATATAGCACTTGTGGTGTTTACACGGTATTTACACCG